GACACATATGGTGGGTATGATTTATTTTGAAAAGGAATGTGAGAATTCTTCTAGGATCCTAGGAGGTACACGTGCTATGAAGCTTTCAGCGCTATCAGAGGTTGATCCTAAGAACGAGCAGGCAAAAGGCACCCAAAGGCAATCTGTTAAGAACAATGTGATGGAGACTTGTGAAGGTCCTAGTATTGTTGATGCAGAAGTCAGTGGCTAAGATGTTGAGTTTGATGATTGGAAAGACGCTCTTTTCTTGGCTAGCCGGGGAGGAGTTTTGGTAGTTTATTTTGTTGTTATTTCTGCTGTCCGGGTTATTTCAGGGTTGTAATCTGGATATTGTCTTGTGACTCAAACCCTTCTATCCTTTTATTTTGCCTAGTTTGTTTAGTCATAGTAGCCTGTTTAGTGTTGTCTAGGTTTGTTCTAGGTTTGTAACCCCAGTTTAGTTTGTTTGTTTCGTTGTCCAAACCCTTTCACCATCTGTCTAATACAATTTTCTATTTTCTGTGATTTCTAGTTATTTTCGTTTAGTTCTCTTTTCTTTTATAGTTCTTTTCCTGTTGACTATAATAACATGACATGCATGCATAATTCTCAGCCTGGTCTTAAAAAGTCAGTTTAGTCATGAAGCAATGAATGAAACAATTTTGAAGATGATAGGGATATTTGAGGGAAATAAGTAAAGGCATTTTGAGATCACTTCAAGCCCGAATTGTGTGAAACTGGGGCAGATAGAACATAAAGAAAATCTATTGAAATGCATCATGCTGCATCGGTTTGAAGCTAAAGGCAAGTGTGCCTAAATTGACAGGGGTCATTCATGGTAATGAGAGTGAGAGTGTTGTCCAATGGTGCTTTGTATTTAACAGATGTAGAAGGCGAATGTGTGGATATGGTTATCAAGTCTGGTACAATCAAAAGATGTTACGAATGTTTTCCTTGGTTTGTTTAATTGTGTTGTTTGTACTTGGCATGTTTTGAATATTGGAATGACGAAGGCATTTTGTTCTGCTATCTAAACACTTTATCCTTTGTTACCCCTTTGAGCCTCATTTATTTTCTTTCATACCCCTTTTTTTATAATCAGTAGCAAAGTTCAGAAACGCAAGCGCAAAAGATAAGTAAAGTAAGAAAAAAAAAGAGAAAGAAAAAGAAGAAAAAGAGAAGAAAAAGAAAAAGAAAGAAAAAAACAACAACAAAACAACAAAACAACAAAAAGAGAAAAAAAAGAAAATGAAAGAAAAAGAGAGAAAGAAAAGAAAGAGATAACAGAAAATCACAACAACAAAGCAATTTCTATAACATGAACTATGTTCGACCTGATTCCTTTTAAGGATGCGTAGGCAGCCTCACGGTTCGGTCCCATCAAAAATAAAAATCCAAAAGTCCCCAAGCAAGAAACTGGGGTAGAAATTGTGGTTCTTGTAAGAAATCTGATTCCGAAAGTTGTAATCTTGAACCCAAATGAGTTGTTTTGAGCCTTTTGATACCCTTTCTTTCTAACCCCATCCAAAAACCTACATTACGGTCCAAAGAAAAATCTTCCGATCAGTCTTTGAGAGATGCCAAGGCGAACAAGTAAAGGTGAATCATATCAGGGCCAACACTCTGATCCAAACAAGGGAAATGAAAAACGAGAGAGTCTTTTTGATGAAAACCCTCACGGGTACCGCAAGGCGATGAAAGCTGAAAAAAATCAAAATGAGAGAGTCTTATGGGTGAAAACCTTCACGGGCACCTTGAGGCGACTGTAAGTTGAGAGAAAGAACAAAATGAGAGAGGCTTGATGGTGAAAACCCTTCGGGCACTACAAGTCGAATAAGGATTGTGAGTCAGATTAGATAATCGAAGAATTGAAGCCCAGTTTCACGGTTTAAGTGTACAACAAGAGTTGAACATCAGACTTGCTTAACAGAATAGGCCTCAGGTGCATGTCATGGTCATTAGAGTTGGTGTCCATATCTGATAGGTTTCTATTTTGTAGATTTCTTGTTAGGAATCATCTCTTTCCATTGTCCTTTACTCTGTCCCTTTTGTCTTGTTTACTTCCTCTTCATGAGTTTGTTTGGTCGGAACAAGTAAGAAATGACTTCAAAATCGGCCACTAGCTTTCCAATTGCACAAAACGAGATCTAGCTAGCACGTCACAGTGTTATAAGTCAGGAAAGAACAACATGCGCGCTGAGTTGGTAACAATCAACATGCTTTGGGGTCCATGAGAAATACGAAGGTTTGTTACATATCAATTCATGAACAATGCAACAAGATGGAGGGTCTTTGGTGAACGGATAAAAGGTATTTTCTGTGGTAAGATTGACAAAAGTTGTTTAATCAGTGACAAACGAGGTCTTCCGAGCAGAAATCAAAGTTATCGTGGTAAGTGAAGGAGCAACAGACCTCAAGGCCAGGGCCAGTGGTTTAAGTCAAGAAAGAACAACATGCACGATGAGTGGGTGGCAATTATCGTGCTTTGAGATTCATGTGAAACATAAGGGTTTGGTAAATGTCGGTTTATGAGCAATGCAACAGATAAAGGGTATTGGGTCTGAACAAAGAAGAGATATTTTCTGTGATAAGGATGATAGAGAAAGTGGTTAGTCAATAAACAAACAAGGTATTCGAGTGGAAATCAAAGTGATCACGGGAAGTGAAGGAGCAATCGCCCTCAAAGTCAAGGCCACAAACCAACCACCACATTTTTAAACTGACAAGATTTTTCTTTGATTTGAAATAGGGGTAGAAAATTTTGTTTGTCTCGGATAAACCCTTCGTAAGGGAAAGCAAGCACCAAACAGGTTTGACCGTAAGTTTTCGGGACCCTCCTGGAAAATGGGACCTAGTTTAAAATTCAAAACAATCATGAGTAGCAAGATCTAGCATAAGTGCGCCCCAAAAGAACATAAGTAGGCTTCAAAGTTTGTATGTTTGAGATAGGATTCAATTAGGAGTTGTCAGGACCCTCATGAATAATGGGACCTAGCTTTAAAATTTCCATTGGATAACAAAATTTAGCGTAAGTTCTGGTGTAGGGTAATATAATTTAGCCGTAAAATAGTCACTCTTAAGATAAAACTTGACTTTTGATTTTCAGGACCCTCCTGGATAATGAGATGTAGCTTTAATACTTTCTTAGATAACAAGATGTAGAGAAAGTAATACCTTTAGGAGATATAATTTAGATTTAAAACTGTCGTTTAATTAGGAGCTGTCAGGACCCGCCTGGATAACGGGACCTAGCTTTCAAATTCTTAGTAGTATTTGGTAACATGATTCAGTTTAACACTCACATATGTGCCCAGCTACCAAACTGGGGTATAAAATGTTCTTTGTTTTGTCTATTTTTGTTGAAATCAGGTACCCACTTGGAGAACAGGGAGAATACAATTCAAGTTTAGCAGTCTGGCGCCCACCTGGAGAGCTCGAGAATACAATTCAAGTTTAGCAGTCAGGCACCCACCTGGAGAGCACGGAATATAGTTCAAGTTCAGCAGTCAGGTGTCCACCTGGAGAGCACGGGAATACAGTTCAAGTTCAGCAGTTAGGCGCCCACCTGGAGAGCATGGGAATACAGTTCACGTTTAGTAGTCAGGCACCCACCTGGAGAGCACGGAATACAGTTCAAGTTTTGGCAATCAGACGTCCACCTGGAGAAAAGGAAAGCATCTCAGATTGTAATTCACGTTCAGCAATCAGGCGTCCACCTGAAGAAAAGGGAAAGTGTCTCAGATCACAATTCAAGTTGGCAACAAAGGGACTTCATCTAGAAAATACAAGTCAACAAGAATTACAAGATCAAGTTTGAAGATATAGATATGATTCTTGTAATGCATAGATCATAGTTTAGTCTAGCTTCTTTTATTTTGTCATGGTATAATAAGGAAATCAGTAAGCAGTACCACCTGCAGCTAGCAAGCATCAAGGTTCAAATCCAAAGTCTGCATGAAAAAACATTCAAGAATCAAGATCAAGCTTCAGAAAACTTATAGATAGGAATCTTGTAACTCGTAGTTAACAGGCTTAACTAGTCTTTTTCATCTTTTGATTTTGATGTAATAACAGGCCCGCGGACCGGAACCTCGGCGGAACGACACCTCGACTGGCTCTTCACCTCGGCATACTCCATCATCTCACTCACCTCTGAACTACACGTGGCCTAATTCCTTTATAGCCAAGGATATGTAGGCAGCTCAGATACCAGGGCTCGATCACATTCCCCTTTTCTCTTAGTTTTGGTCTCTTTAAATAAGGGTCGGGTCAAAATACCTGTCTAGTCGTTCTTTGTCCGAAAACGCTTCGCATTTCCAGTCAAAGAGGGGCAGTTGTAGACATGTGATTTTTGACCCTCCCCAAGATTTTTTATATTTTAGCATATAAATATTTAATTTAGGCCTAATATAGCTATTTCAACTATTGTTGACTTCTTTACTTTATTTTCGTCATAAAATAACAAAAATTACAAGAAAAATATTTTTAGCTTATGCATCTTTCATAAATTTAAATAAAAAATATACAAAAATAGTAACTTTATTTTATCTTTACATAATCTTAAAAATACAAAAATACATAATAGTTTCATGTTAGCTTTTGCATTGTATAGTATTTTTATCTTATTTTAAAAGAAGTCAATTAAGGTGTTGGATCATAATTTTAAGAGTTGTAGAGCCCAATTCGGATTAGTCCATTAAGCCTAGGGACCCTTCTAGACTCTTCTTTAGAACCAAAAACAAATAAAAAAAGACCCTAAGGACTTAACACAAAAAGACCTAGGGACTAATTGGAAAATACACAAAAATACACCTAAACCTAG